CCTCGCCCGGCTAGTTTTTCTGTATTTCTTAATAGAGACGGGGTTTCACCGTGTTAGCCAGGATGGTCTCGATCTCCTGACCTCGTGATGCGCCCGTCTCGGCCTCCCAAAGTGCTGGGATTACAGGCTTGAGCCACCGCGCCCAGCCCCTTTGCCCATTTTCAAATGGGGTTCTTTGTTTTTTCGCTGTTGAGTTTTTGTGCTTGGCTCTTAACTCGTCACTTATCCTATTGAGAGGAAGCCAGGGGTAGAACAACCACTCATGACTGGTGGATGTTGCTGGTTTTTCCTTTGCTGGGATAACCTGATTTCCTTGGATTTTCAGGTTTGGGCCGCCCTTCCTGATAAGGGAAGATAGAGCTGTTTCCTGGGCCCAGCTCCAGCAGTCCATCCTCAGCAAGGTCCGCCATCTTATGAAGAGTGAAGCCCCTGTACAGGTCAGTGGTGTGTGTGTGTGTGTGCATGCGTGCGTGCATGTGTGAGTGTGGGTGTGTGTATTGGGAGGGTTGGAATTTAGGGTAGCTCAGGAGAGGAGAATTTGCTGTTAAGGAGTGCTCATACTGTTTTATAAAATGACTTAGATTTGTGTGCAAGTAGAAGTAACCATCTTATAGTCTGTAGTGTTTTACTTTTGTGCCATTATAAAATACCTTTCATGGACAGAGCTTTTTCTTATTAAATCTTTCAAAACACCATTGGGAAAATGGCATTTACATTACAAAAGTTTTTTTTTTTCACATTTTCCATCACTCGCTAAGCATTTACATTATTATTCCCAATTTTGTATGTTTATGGCTTAGCATAGTTTTTCCTAGAAGATACCATATTGTAATAAATTGCAACTGTATGTTTAAATCAACAATTTCAAGGGACTTGAGATAGAATTTCTGTGGAAAATTAAAATGATTATGTCCAAATATGAAAATCTACATATTAAAATAATTTTGTCCAGATTTTTTAAAAACTAAGATAACTCAAAGGAAAACAATATTTGCCTTGTTTATTTATTCTCAGATTGATAGTTTCCAAACAAAAACAGTATGTTTAAGAACTGTTGATTTTTTTTTTTAGCTCCTATAATATCAGAAACTTTCTGATGGTTGCTTGAAGATGTTGAAATTTTTAGGGACAGGTCAGTTGCGTCAGATTCCTGTTTTCCCCTAACTATTCCCATAGTAAAAGCTTTTTATTTGGAGCACACACAGATCTTATCTCAGAGATAATTCCTCCTAATTCATGCTCCTTCCTGCTCAGCAAAAACCATATGTTTGATTTAGGATTTATACCAAATAACACTTTGTTAAAAACCTTCACTACATTTGTCCCAACTTTTATCTCTGAAGCATTTTGTTCAATGTATTGTAGAGCAGATCCACCAAAGGGCCCAAATTAGAAACTCCTCTGCAAGTAGGTCAGTCTATCCAGTGAGAGTTTTGCCTTCTCCCAAACCTTAAGCTACTGATTATTGCAATACATGAAATCATTTTCATTTGAGCATTTAACTCAGCTGTCCTTACTCTTACCTGCTCACACACCTGTACTTTTTTTTTTTTTGGGAGATGGAGTCTCACTCCGTCACCAGGCTGGAGTGCAGGGGTGTGGTGGCTCACGCCTGAAATCCCAATACTTTGGGAGTGCAACCTGGCGCCGGCCCCTTCCTCAGGTTCATGGCACGTGGATGCTATTCCCTTGCTCAGCCTCCGAGTAGCTAGCATACAGGTGATGCGGCCACCAGCCCAGCTAATTTTTGGTATATTTTAGTAGAGATGGATTTCACCATGTGCAGTGATGGTCTCATCTCATCTGACCTCGTGATCCTCCCTCCTCAGCCTCCACAAGTGCTGGGATGACATTGGTGTGAGCCACGATACCCCGTCCACGCCACCTTGTTTACTTTTG